GTGTGTGTGTTTGTGTGTGTGTGCATGGGTGTATTTGTGTGCCCGTGCGTGTGTGCATGTGTATGTGTGTGTTTGTGTGTGTATGTGTGTGTGTGTGTGTGTGTGTGTGTGTGTGAGTGCGCGTGTGTGATAGCACGCACACGCGTGTGTACATCCATACGTCAGATTAGATTTCGTCCTTCTGTGTCTGAGCCTGTGATAACTGATGATGCCACAACACGATGTGCCCGTAAATCTGATAAACACACACCAGTCGATCTTCCTCATTCGCGAGAGTTCATTTTCTCGTCGGTATCGGTTTCCAATTATGAATCACAGGAGAAACCCAATGTTTTTTTTGTGTGGAGGTTTTTAAACTTGCAGCAGGGTCTGAGTGTCGATGGCACTGGGAATCTGGGTCATCCGATTTCTCCACCCTGGGGCGGGGGCGGTTAAAGGGGGGAGGGGGAAGGGGATGGGGAATTTGATCCTTAAAACTCCACTGCCTGGCATCTCATTAAAATGCTGCAAATTGGAATCTCCTAGAATCGCGGCATACTTTCAGAAGTCGGGTTCATTATTAAATGCCGGGCTTCTTTTCATCAGCGTCTGTTTAGTTTCTAGCTTTTCACGAAGGGCATGAGTTTAATTTCTGAATGGAGAAAATGTCAAATTGAAAATCTTTGTCTTTCGAGCTCAGAAGAACTGGGCCGAAGTTGCCTAGTTCCTATTTTATGTTCCTTGTACCGATGAGAATGTAAAGCATTCACAAACATATAAATATACGTACACGCACATAGACACATATATCATACATGTACATCATGCCTGCACCTATCCTCTTTATGGCCGTGGGCTTGGGGCTGAGATTGTTTTGTACACGGTGCTGTCGGACATACTTTTGCTTTGGACAAGACAAGAAATAATAAGCAGTAGTCAGTCTTAGGATACTATTGATAATTTCATAGTGGGAAGATATTCAAATAAGGCCCGTGTGAGCCACTCACTAATAAAAACAATAATGAAGAAGCAAGCAATAAAGCAATAAGCATTAGTTAGTTTTATAACTGATCGAATAGCATGGATGTATCAGGAATGTCATTGAGAAAAGACAAATTGAAATAAAATAAAACAGAGACGAGAAAAGGTCCAGCTTTTGCTTGAGAGTTAAGAAGCCCTACGGACCCGAGACTAGTCGCCATTGATACATACATAAAGTATATTATTATTGTACATTATTTTGTTGCCCTGGGAAGCGGTTCACAGTGTCCGCCATTTTCATAGTGTGTGCTCTATCTGGCCTCGCGTGCTGTTGGGTTTTTTTGTTTATGATTAGTTCGTTTAACCTGATGGGGGCTGAGAAACAAAGTAAACGTGCTTAACGAAAGTTTTCGTGGAACTACATAGCACTGACGTCAGCTCAGGGTGGGACATTCCTGCCATTTTTTTCTCTTATCGTTTGGACGACATTAGATACCTAGTGATTAAGGAACAAACTCTGTCAAGAGTCTAGAATTGAGAGATACCTAAAAAAAATGAATAAACCTCAGGAGATCTTGTTGGTCATACTCGGCCAGATAGACCATCACTCTCTGGGGGCATTTGGATTGTTTATGTGGTGAGTTCAGTTGCTTTTGGGATGTTTGTTTGTCCGTTCAGTTAACACCTGAGCAACTGTTGTGGCCCTGCATATTGTAAGAGATATATAGGGTCATTTCAAACGCATATGGGTGATTGATGTGGTCAATGTTCAGGTTCGTGAGGGTAGTCAGTGTGGCTTTGCCAAGTTACACTGGGGGGGTGATGTGGTTACTGAACAGGTTAAGTACACGTGCATGGCTCAAATGGGTGGTCAGTACAGGTACATATGAGCGTATGGCGAGGGCAGACCTGGCTCCTGTATGGTCAAATCCGCCATGACAAAGCCCCTGTAGCTCCTGTCATCTCCTACCGCTCGACACAAAAGCACTCTCCTCCACACACGTCAGCGCACAAACACCACAAGGATTTAATCAATCATTGCCTAGCTCTGTCCGCCGCGCATGCGCCCTCGTCCATCATCGGAAACACAGCTAATCGCCTTGGAGGTACGCCGGTGATCATGATCGGAGGATTAGGAACGGCGATTTGATTGGCTGCCACAAATCCCCGGCACGTGCATACTCGAGCCATGGTGGTCGTGGAAAGACGGTAGCTAATGGTTCTGTCTCGTAGTATTAAAGAAACACGGCTGAGCCGTCTGAGGTACTGCTCATACACACTCAGACCACACCAGTTACAGAAGTAACGAAGCACCTCAAGCACCTCACACTGACACACCCTGAGCTGAAATAAGTCACGACATAATGTAGGTCAGAGCTCAGTTATAGCTCACCACCGTAGACAGGCAAGAATACAAAAAGCTCATGAAAGAGGCTCATTCCCAAATGTTAAAGTGGCAATCCATACTTAACAGACAAAACATTCACCATCTAGTACGTAAAAATTTCAGGGAACGGCACAAAAAAGACGTAAGGTAGATTCCCATACATATAGGTGTTGCAGGAAGATTGTTTCAACCAGTACTCTCTGTTTTTCAACTTGGGATGTACCAGGTGCAGCCGTGATCAACCCTGTCTGGCACATTAACAAAATAGAAATGTACTGAAGTCGGTAAATTCCTTACCCTCGATTCTGTGTTAGCAGAAACATCCTTTCATCTATTGCCTGTCTATCTATCTATCTATCTGTCTGTCTGTCTGTCTGTCTGTCTGTCTGTCTGTCTGTCTGTCTGTCTGTCTGTCTGTCTGTCTGTCTGTCATAGTGGTAATTGGAGACATAGTGAATCATAATTTGTTGGAGCGTGGACATCAGAAAAACCAGTGAAGACAACTAAATCTCCGAGCATCGAATATATCATTACGATGCCATTCCGTCCTTCTTAGAACCTTCTATCCTCCTCACACTAGCCCCCCCCCCTTTCCACACACTCACGTATAGGCGTCTCTGAGGAGTATGTACATACTGCCGTCTGTCACGTAATGCAGAGATTACGCATACATAAAGTACCGCCTTTGATACGTCTTGGATTTGTGCGTCTACAACTCAGGACGTTATTAGTTTTCTATAGTGTGACATCACTGTACCACTGAATAGACAGCAACATATTTGGCTTCACATTTGTCTGCTTGTCTATCTGTCTGCTTTTCTATCTCCCAGTGTAGACATGCACAACACCATCCATGTCCCACACACCATACATCACACGATACCTACCTACACACATCAGAATGGAGGCCCAGAAAGTGAGTAGTAGGTCACTTAAAAGGGGGGAGGGGGCCAAGTTAATATTTTAACCGATAAATATGGCTGCAGCGGAGACTGTGAGTCTAACATAATGATATAAGAGACTTTTCAAAAACGTCCACTATAACGAGGCTCACAGCTTTGTTTTCCCCACTGTGTTTGACAGTTGGTTGAGATGTGTGTGTGTGTGCGTGT